GTATATGATAATACTTAATCTTGTACTTATGTATAACCTCATCCAACATGGGAAAGGAGAGCATAGAGCCCCAAGGAACCCTGCAAAACAGGGATTTAGTGCTAGTTCAGCCCTTCTTACCAACACCAGCTAACTCCAAAGGAAGGAGAACCACCACAAAATTATGCCCCCAACTCCTAACCCCTAAAGCTGATCCAGAAAGGTAAGACAATCAGTAATACTAAAGATCACTGAAATGGCCAAAGGACATCTGTACATGCAATCAGTGTAATTTCTTTACTACATCCCAGCCCAATACCCACTGAAAAGGGTCCACATAATATTTCTCCCAATGTCCCTGTGAGCTATATAATGACCTTCTCAACAAGCTACCTTAAAAAGAGAAGGTTAGAGACAGAACAAAGTATTGTCCAGAGCAGTGGGACCCAGAGATGGCCTTCGGAGTAAGGTAATGTACCATTGACTTTGATATTGAGCTGGTATCTATCAGATGTCTGGAAGAGACCAATTGTATTTTCCAAAATCAGGCTTTTTTGGAACACAAACAAAGGGAAGAAGTGAGGTTAATAATGCTAGAGCATTAGAGTTAGGGTTAGGGGGTGGTAAGGGGCTATAAGCAACTTGGATGGATCTCTGTGTTTTGACAAATGTTTTCACTCAGCCTGTTCAACTAAAATGGATGCATTGTCAAACCAGCTTTAGGCTTGGTCCTCATTTTGCCTCTAGTGCAGTGGGTCTGTAATCTGAGAACTGCTGACTATATATAGATTACAATGTGATGACTAAAACATACAGCATAATTTACTTTTTACTCAATCCTAATTGCAGATTTGTTCATTTATCATTTAGGGGTGTATGGTACTGCAAGGTTAGAGACCCTCAACCCCAAAGTGTTCTCTACCCAACCTGATACTATTGCTGTTTTCAGTGAAACATATCTGAAATCATTTGACATATTGTCCAGTGGAGGACTACTCAGCAGAAAGAATGACATGAGCATGAATCTGGAGTCATAAGTTTGTAATCCAGCTGATGGATGAAAGATTCAGAAAGGAAGAGCCCAAGATTTGCATTAGGAACTTCTGGAGAACAGATCAAACAAGTCAAAGTGATGCCTCTAGTTGTGTGATTGAAGCCCTATTCATTTTTTACATAGAACATACATGCAACACACACAGAAGAAGGGTGAGTTGTTTCCTCTGCAGGCAACTATCTTATATTTACAGCACCCTTAGGACTCTGGAAACAATTTACTTATCGTGAGGACAGATAAATTAGATTAAAGGAGAACTGGAAGAATGTTGGGCATTTCATAACCTTGGCGAAGTTTCGTTTTGTGTTTCTTTCAATAGAACATTTCCACAGAAAACTCAAAGTTTGATTTTTCTTTGCAGCTTGACAGGCTTCTATCCTACATTCAAGAAATAATTGGAAACCAAACAGTTCTTTGAGGAAACTCATAAAATGGCAACAGAACTGTATTATCCAGAAACAATAGTGTAATTTTATTTTTATCATTGTGTGGGTAGATAGAGTCACCATATTTTATAACCTTTTCTGAGAAAGCCGAAGTAGTGTGGATTTTTCAAAATCCAAATTGGCACCATTCTTTCTTTCATTAAAATGCATTAGAAGCGGCACATATTGCCATTTGTGCTGGGAAACATTTGATAAGACAGAAGGTATTGAATGCTTTCCATCAGTGGAAAAAGTCACCATTGAGGGTGGGGTGGGGAAAAGACAATGTAAAATAATCTGAATGTGCCAAATGTTTGATGGCAGGAAAGGAACTGTTGATTTCTCTAATAGGAAGATTCTTTTCCTTGGGTTTTTCACATTATATTTTCTCCTTCAAATGTCATTTTAGTGCAAATATATCCCTGGCTGGATCAAATACATGTTGGTCATATCAGGTTAGAAAGACATCCCTAATATCTGTACTCAGGAAGTCCTCACTTCGGTTTCAAGGCATTGCCACAGTGTGTGAAGAATTCAGATAGAAATCATCCCTCTTGATGCATTTGGTTCTGTTTGAGAAAGCTATTTTTTCCGATATATTTCAATGTTATGGTGTAAATTTTCTTGGAGAAAGAGGAAGATATTGCTGTGATCCTTATATAAACAGCAGTTTCCTGTCAATTTCCTGTCTCAAGTTTCCCCACCTGTGAATAGCATCTGGCATTTGGAAAAAAACATTATATTTGTGAAGTCTTTTCATGGTGCCTATTAAGGATCTCCTGGCTATTTCTTAACAATCCATTAAAATGGGATCTCAAATGGGATATTTCTAGGGATATTAAGATGATGGCAGCTGGAGCTTCAGCCATGCTGCTCTGAGCACTACTGCAGAATTGTATCTCCAAATTTCCTGAAACATTTAATTCCCATATGAAAGAAGTCACTATTTTTTTCAGGGAGCTTCATAACTTCTTTCCAATTTCTTCTGGGGGTACTTTTGAGCTAGCTTTATTATAGGGACACAAATGACCCAGAAGGAATGAGAAGATGAGCAAAACAGACTATTAAGAACAAGGGTAGAGAAGAAAGACAGAAATAGAGATGACAGAGATGACATAGAGATAGACGGTAGATACCGTAAATAGTTTGTGTGCTTGCATGGTAATCGATGGATCAATAGAAATGTATAGAATGTAAACAAGTGTATAGGGTGTGTGTGAAGAGTAGAGAGAGATTATGTTCAAGGATGATCCTAAAAGTGATATAAATTGGCATTTTGTTTTTCTATGGGTAATCAAATAATAAGCTTATCATTTCTTCAGTAGCAACATTGCCTTGTCTTGAGTGTTATGGGCAAGCTGCGTGTTTCTGATTTCCTTCCTCTACAAGGTGGAATCAAATATGTGCTTGGTATTTGAAATTCAAACTCAGTTTTCGCTTTTAACTTAATTTTGGAAGGCAAATGGGCTTTCTTTCGTGCTTAAACAGATATCAACAGGAGCCATTTTAAGATTAGCCAAGCTCCCCAGAGCAAACACTTTGCTCTTATATCTCTCTTCTCTGCTTCATCAGGTGTTGTATGACAAGTAAAATGCCCCTCTGTCTATAATTAATTAGACAAATTTTTATAAATATCTACTGCAATTTGTGGTTCTTCAAATTTGGTACTTGGAGGGCTTTAAAGGGGAATTTGGTTATTGATAGTTACTGTTCATGAATTATAGATCAATTCCAGAATTGGATCCAGAATGCTCTAAAATCTTTAGTAAATAAAAGGAGAATTACTGCACATGATCCAGCACTACACACCTTATAACAATAAAAATGTCAAAAGAAATCAAATACCTAAAGCCGAATAATAATACTACAGCAATCAAGTAAAATCAATTAAACAACATCTGTATCAAATATCAAAACATTAGATATTAGATAGAATAATGGTTGTTAGTTTAGTGTACAAGTAGCCTTCGACTTATGCCCATGATTGAGTCCCGAATTTCATTTATAAATTGTCGCCATTGTAAGTTGAGATATCAAATGACTGGTATCAAAGTTGCAACTGTTGTTTACAATGGTTGTTAAGTAAACACTGCAGTCATTAAGCAGATGCTGCAGTCATTAAACAAATCTATTTTCCCCAATGAGTGTTTTGTCAGAAAGTGGAATAAACGCTAGAAACTGGCACAAAAGCCTCAAATTGTGGTCACATGACTACAAACATCCATGAAGTGAGTTGGTTCCCATATGCCCAAGATGTGATCACAAGATCGTGGGTGTTTGTGTGGCTGTCATAACTCTGAAAATGGGTCATAAGTTGCTCTGGGGAGGTTCATTGTAATTTCAAAGAGAGTGATGGAATGTGCTGCTGGAAAATGAGTAAGGGAAATGTTTGTTGTACAAACTGCTTCCTAGGGAGGAGGCAGCACATTCCAGATATAGGCCCAAAACAAGAGAATGTGTGATCCTGAACTGGATGGGAAAGGGAAGAAAGAAAAGGATCATGACTCTCCCAGGGTATATCTATTATATTGGAAGGTTATGGCTTTAGTCTGGCAAGATTCTGTCTATTAGGTTTAAGCTAATAAAGAACTGGACTTGATTGGCTCTCACTGTGTCTTTGGGCATAGGCCTGACAATGGTCATTAAATGATTGGTCGCAAATTGAGGACTATCTAAAGTGCCAGAGAGTCAGTTTGATGTAGTGATTAAGGTACCAGGCTAGAAACTAGGGGACATAAGATCTAGTCCCATTTAAGGCATGTAACTATATGTGGAAGTTTGAGCCAATCCTCTGACTCAGCCTTAGGAAATAGGCAATGAAAAACCATTTCCAAAAATACCTTGCAAGGAAATTGCAGGGACTTGTCTAAACAGTGGCATTATTTCTTGAAGATCCCACTAGTAAGCTAGAAACACTCTTAATACAGCCTATCATGTTTGTCTTTTGATAGGGTTGTGGACTCCCATAAAGAACAGGTTCACGCAGTTGAGGTCCTCCTGGGCTCATGGTTTCTGATCAAGGAATAGGTAGAAGCCATGCCCAGGAGAGCTTTTGCCTAGTTTTGACTGGCTCTTCAGTTGTGACCTTACCTGAAATAAGATGCTCTGAGGACCATCACACATGCTCTTGTCATGTCCAAATCAGGTTATTAACATGGGGCTGCCTTGTAGGCTTTTTGACCAGTTGCAACACTACCACATTATACCACTGCAGCAGAAGCTGAAATAGTTCCCAGTGCAATTTAAAGTGTTGACTGCTACCTGTAAAGCCCTATAAGGGGTTGTCTTCTTAGCAGCATTTCTGCTTTCTGGGGCTGAAAGAACTGACTGGCCCAAGTCATCCAGCTGGCTTTGTGGCTAAGACAGGACTAGAACACCAAAATTCCTAATTTCCAGTCTGACACCTTAACGATTACACCAAACTGACTCTTGGGAAGCAGGAGGGAGATGTTGTAAAAAGAATCAGTTCTGGTTAGCAAATATGCTAGGTATACCACTGTTCAGCCAAACCTCTCACATATATTTTGTTTTCATTCCTGCAGAGGTGCTTTCTCCATTGTCAGGAGGTGTGTGAAGGTGCTGTCAGGACAAGAATATGCTGCCAAGATAATAAACACCAAAAAGCTTTCTGCTCGCGGTAAGTGCTGTCTAGCCCTAATACTACAATTCTTTTAACCTGGACTACATTACTAGTATGAACAGCATTTGTAATGCATTACCGTATTTTCTGGCATGTAAGACGACTTTCTAAAGCATGGAAATCGGCGCCGAAGTTGGGGGTCATCTTATACGCTTTCTTATATGCTGGAAATTACGGTAGTTTCTGGCATATAAGATGACTTTCTAGGCATGGAAATCGGCGCCGAAGTCAGGGGTCATCTTATACGCCGAGTCGTCCTATATGCCGGAAAATACGGTATGTATTTTATTTATTTGGGGTGCAACCTTGCTTGAAACATATTGCAAGAAAGAAGTCATACATACTGATCTATCTATATGTACCTTGCGTTCATATACACACATATTAGAAATATAGAATTATCGGACTGGAAGTGATGTTGGAGGTCTTCTAGTCCAACCCCTGCTCAAATCAGGAGCCTTATATCATACCAGTCAAATGGTTGTCCAGTCTGTTTTTGAAAACCTCCAGTGATGGAGCACCCACAAGTCCAGGAGGCAAGTTATTCCATTGATTAATTGTTGTTGCTGTCAGAAAAATTCTCCTTACCTTTCTCTCTTTCCTCCTCTCTCTTTCTCCCTCTCTCAGACACACACACACACACACACAGAGAGAGAGAGAGAGAGAGAGAGAGAGAGAGAGAGAGAGACAGACAGACAGACAGACAGACAGACAGACAGACAGACAGAGAGTATTGCTTTCATACATACCAATAGACTAATGTGCAGGACCAGAAATAAATATTTTGAGATACCTCAGAAATTAGATATTTTACAGCGTTGCCTAGAAAGTCTACTTTCTCACAACAATAGACCATGATGGAGCACACACGCAAGCAATTATATATAATTGAGAGCACTAATTCCAACCTACCTTACTCTTCTACAACCTTCTCCCCTACTTGTTCTAAACCACGTTATAAAATATTGGAGCTTTTTGTATATGTTTATGTGTGCATGTGCAGACACATCTCCAAGTCAATCCTGGCATCTGCTTGGACAAGACTACAGTTTTCTTGGCAACATTTTTTGAAGTGATTTGCCACTGGCTTCTTCCTAGGGCTGAGAGAGTCCAGCCCAAAGTCACTCAGATGACTTCATGCCTAAGGCAGGCAGGAATTCAAAGTCTCCTGATTTGTAGTCTGAAACCATCATTCCAGATTGTGTCTCAGTAACATAAAAGCAATCTCTATTTTCTGCTATGTCCCCATAATGTTGTCTTTTGCCTCATTTCCAGGCCACGAGTGACATTTAAACAACATCAGTGTTTAGTAGTAGCTTATTGATACAGATATTGATACTGTGTAAGAACAGCCTCAAGGTACATAAATATGTTAGTCTATGCCACTTGTTAGCATGAAAAAAAGTCAGATCCCTGGCAGCACTTGGGCACCAAGGTGAAAAATGCAGGATAGGAGTTAATAGGAATTAAAAACTGGGAGTTTTTAAGAAGAGACTGGGTAGCCGTTTGTCTGAAATGGTATAGGGTTTCCTGCTTGAGCAGGGGGTTGGACTAGAAGATCTCCAATGTCCCTTCCAACTTTTATTATTATTATTATTATTATTATTATTATTATTATTATTATTATTGTTGTTGTTGTTGTTGTTGTTTATTTAGAAAAAAATGATACTAGCACACCTTAAAAAAAGCATGGACATTTATTCCTAGCTTTTCCAAGCATATAACTTTTTTGTATGCTTTTTCCAAAAAATATTTTGCTTTTATCATTTGGAAAACAAATTACTGCCCTTTGTACCATCGTAGAATCAATACCAGGAAACTGCTTTTCATTGTTGAAGAGTAGCATGTGTCAAAGGCTGCATTTGCACAGAATAGAGATGGGATGAGCATTAAAATCAAATTTGCATTCATTTCATTCACATTGTCACTTCTTTCATTTAAATGCAGAAAATTTGACTGTTATCCAATCATGTATTTAATTTTTTTCTTGGGCACACAATTTATTCATCTAATTTATTTGTTAGATTTTTTATCAGTACTAATAGCAATAGGTGCTTTGGGTGCAATTCCAAAAGATCTGGAACACCCCTCAAACACCGTCGGCATTGACAAAATCATTAGTCAATTGCAAAAGGAAGCTTTACTTGGAACAATTTGCATCCTGCAACAGTACCTTTAACACCATCAGACAATAACATCTGCCTATCCCAGGTTCTTGGGAAGGATTCAATAGGTGGACAAAAATGCAAGATTCAATATAAACATCTGGCTGACCAGCTACAATAATAACATCCTGCAATGGGTAGATGTTATAAGTATTGACCTTTAATATTATTAAATTTTTCTTCCATACCTAGATCGAACTTTAAACTGCCAGAATGAAGCCATCTTCTTGGCTTCGTTGTTGGTCAAAAAAAGTCATTATTGGTACATTTTCTGGGTAGTACCCAACATACGACCAAATGGGCTGGGCTCTGTGTCTTTCCATATTCACATAGCACAAGGGTAGGCAACCTTGGCTCTTTTATGATTTGTGGACTTCAACTTCCAGAATTCCTGAGTCAGCATGGCTGGTTGAGGAATTCTGGCTATTGAAGTCCACAAGTCATAAAAGAGCCAAGGTTGCCTACCCCTGACATAGCTGTTGATATGCATTAAGAGCCTCCACTTGAGTGTATTGCTTTTACATTTAGGCACTGCAACTCTCAGTCCTATTCAAGGTCCTCTGGGCAGCAAAAGTGAGGTCAGCTCCTTTAGCCATAATCCTCCTTTAATATTATTTCTTGCTCTATGGTTTCCTCCCTCCATCTTTTAATTTGATTTTGTTCTTGTGTATTCTCAAGAATGTTTGTTCTTGCCATAAAGCTGAGTTGGCAGGTTTGGAGCATATGTCTGTCCAGAGGATTTTATTAAATAACCTCTACCTATTCTGGGTCATTGGGAAGGTGGACAAATATGCCAAATCTATTCTAAACAACTGGCTGATTAGCCACCAAAAGACTGCTTCACTGATGGGACCTAGCCATGTTAGTAGAAACCATTGGGGATAGGTGATTCCAAAAATAGTCTGGCCTATTTCCATGTAGGGCCATAAAAGTGATAACCAGCAATTTTAATTGCAGTCAGAAGGCACTGGGAACTAAGGCAGCTCACATAACAGCAAAGTTAGATGGATGCACTTTGGTATGCTCAATACGACATATCCCACTGCATTCTAGACCAACGGAAGTTCTGAATGTTCTTCAAAAACAGTGCTGTGTAAAGTGTGTTGCAGTAGTTCAAATGAGAAGTAATAAAGCCATGAGGAATGTGAACAATGCCTCCCAACCTAGAAAAAGGCACAACTATTGCAAAAAACTGTAATTGCATGGAGGCCCTTCCAGTTATAGTTGCCACCTGCTCAACAAGCTGTAATATGAGTGCAGAAGGACTCTAAAGGACTCCAATGAATTCTCTTTCTGGGAGTATGTTATCCCATCCAAGGTTAATGATATAAATTACTAAATGCAGTGGGCCCTAAAACCCACAGCCACTTGGTCTTGTCAGGGTTGTGCTGAAATGGCTCTTCCCATCCAGACCCACAATAGCCATCATGCACTGGGAAATCATATTGATAGTGTCACTTGGCTGGCCTTGAGAAGTGAGGAATAACCAAGTATCATCCACATACTGATGATATTCAATCAGCAGTTTTGTGTAAATATTAAATAGAATGGGAGAAAGAATTAAGACTTGTGGCATCCTACAAAGCAGAGCTCCTCTTAGCAATACCAGAACAAACTGACATTGGAGGAAGGAGGACAACCCAACTCCCAACCCTCTTAGCTATTCCAGAAGGATGTCATGATCAATGATAATGAAACGGCCCTTTGGAGAAACAAGTCCACCACCTTTTCAAGAATCTTCCCCCAAAAGGGAAGTTGGATGAAAATGATCTCTGGGACAGGGGATGGATCCAGAGATGACCTCCTGAGGAAGGGGCAGACCACCACCTTCTTTAAGCAGTGAAACCATCCCCTCCCATTACTATTGCCCTGTGGACACAAGGGGAGCCTGTTCAAGTACAGTAAAGATTTGGAAAGGACATTTTGAACTCTCTTAGAATTTCACCCACAAAGCATTTTGAAGCTATGCATAATCTAAGGTCTCAGATTACTACCTTTACTCTTAAAAAAATGGAAAATTCCTTTCCATCCTTTCTCAAAATGCCAGGGATGCTTATTTCCCTCACCCTCTTTTCTAATCTCCACCTAATTCTTGCTCCAATTTTTCCGTCCTTCACACAATTTCTCAGACAAAATCGGGCAGTTGATAAAGAGCATTTTATAAGATGCCACTATCACTGCCTCTAGTTTCTTTCTATGGCAGGTTCCATACAAGTTCTAGAGCAGTGGTTCTCAACCTGTGGGTCAGGACCCCATTTGGGGTCGAACGACCATTTCACGGGGGTCGCCAAACAACGCAGTCCACCATTTTTTTCCCCTTTTCCTTAGCTGTGCTACTCCCTTTTATTCTATTGCTTTTGAAAGCCAATAGAATAGACTCTCTTGAATAGAGTCTAATTCTATTGGCTTTCAAAAGCCAATAGGAATTGTCCAGGCTGTCTCTGCCCTGCTGAGCGCGCCAAAAGTCCCATTCTGCAAATGGTGCTGCACCAGTTGAGTAGTCCTCGATTTACGACCGGTTGAGTAGTCCTAGACTTACAACCGGTTGGGGATCACGGCATTAAAGAGGTTGAGAACCACTGTTCTAGAGCCACAAAACCTCAAGAACCTGAATGAATGTAGCCATCTATTTTAGCCAATGGGTAGGAGATTATGGATAGGAATAAAACATAAAATGCAAACACTCCTTCCTTTAAACTCCCAAAACTAAAAGCAAGCTTTGAAATATGCTTCTTTAGGGGAAGAGTTTGCAGGGTTTAAAGGATGAGAATGGGAATGGGAATACTTTGGGAAGCAAATGGCTAAAATATTCCTACCTGACTCCATTCCTAA